GGGAAAGAGACCTGTGAGCAGGAGAGGCCACTGTCACCCTTGTCACATGGATGAGGCTTTCCTGCAACCAGGGAGGGAGGGCCTTAGAAGGCTGTGGAGCAAGGCTGGCCAGAGGGAAGGGCAAGGACAGCTTGTGAGGAGCTTCAGCAGCCCCGGGAGCGGAGCACAGGGAGGGAAACCAAGAGCTGCCAGTGAGGCAGGGTCTACAGGCGTGGGGACTGGAGTGCTGGTCTACCATGAGACGAGTCTGTCCAGGAACGGGAGCTCTGATTTCCAGAACGCTGGATGCTCTGTGTGCCATGGTACTGAGATTGGGGCCAGGCACTTGGGGTGTCCCGGCAGTGGGCAGGAGAGTGTGGAGGGGCCAAGTGGGCACGCACCCGCTGCCAGATGGCCTCCTGGCCGCTCCAGGCCAGCGCCAGGTTGATGCCGTTTAGCGCCATCCAGTCAATCTCTTGCTCCCAGCGGGCCCAGTCCCACCACACGAAGGAGTAGCTCTGCGTGCACACGTTCTGGTAATAGCGGTACCTGTGGGCAGCAGCACAAGCTGGCACGTGTTCCTGAACGAGAGGAGGCCTCCCACCCGTGGGGTCCACTTCTCCAGAAGAGCTGGGAGGACCGCCTGGCTCTGACCTCCCCACCCCCATTTATCAGAGACAGGAAAGGTCTGAAACATGGCCCTTCTACTGGGATCCATCCCAGCTGTTGGTGAGATCCAGGGACCTGCCCACCTGCTCCCTATAACCCCTTAGGCCTCTTAGCCTGGCAGATTCTGGTAGGAGCTATTCCATTTTCATTCAACCCTGTGCAGTGATTCAGTGCCACATGGAAAAGTTGGCCGGGCCCGCACCATGTCATAGGAGGGAGACAGATGTGAGAGCATCTCTCCCAGAGTAACAACAGCCAGAACAGAGGCTGTGAGGTGGGCACCCTTCCTCAGCATCTTCAAAGAGCCAGCAGAGGGAATGACAGTTACTAATCACCAATGATCTTTCCAAGTGTTCAGATGGGCCAGCTGTGGCTCTCAGATGCGAAGTGACCCACTGCGCCATGACTGTTACAGACAGAGATAGGATTTCATAGTGGTTAAGGCACTGGACTCACATGTGGTGGACTACAGTTCAAGTCTCAGACCTGGCGGCTTGGAACTCAGCTGGGCGCATGAGTTTGGGCATATGCATACCTGCCCAAAGTCCCAAGAGGAGACTGGAGGAGAAGGGATTGCAGGGTAGCCATCCCCCTGGGGAGTCACTCCATCTCCTGTGAGCTCAAGTGCCCTATAGCAAAAATCTCTGAAAAAAGGCAGAGCTAGGATTTGAAGGCAGACTGGACCCTAAGGCCAACGCTTCGTTCAAGGCGCCCACGTTCCTCTAGACCAAGGCAGCGCGGGAGCGGGGCGGGGCCACTCGGGGTGGTCAGGGCTGTACCTGTTGGGCGTGGCCTCGATCAGCTCTCCCGGCACAGCGGGCAGAGGCCGAGGCAGGCGCAGCTGCGAGCCCGACCAGGCCACGTGGCAACCGCAGAAGTCGCGC